TATCTACGCTGCATTGCCGAGCCTGTCCCTGCGACCGACCTGGCTTCATTGAACCAGAAGCGTATAGCGGGGGTTTAGTATGTGTGCGTGCGTGCGTTCGTGGCGTGAGAGGGTGTGTGAGTGAGAGGTGTGTGTGGTGAGTGAGAGAGAGAGAGTGTGTGTGTGTGTGTGTGTGTGTGTGTGTGTGTGTATATGCATGTATGCATGTATATTTGCAAGCACGTACCCGGTCTCCCCCTCCGTTGCCGGTGATGGGGGAGGGGGGGGGGCAGGAGTGAGAAAGGGGAGAGGGGGGGGGGGGTAGATGACGCCCCTGATTGCGTGCGACCCGCTGACGCCGAGGACATAATGAGAGCGTGTGTGTCGCCGCCGCCCCGAGATGCGATCAGCGCCCGACCCGAAGGTGCCGGATAAGCCCTCCGAGCGGCCGCAGCGGGCGTCGCGTGATGAGGGCGGCCGCCGTCTGTGCGGGGCGAAGCCGGGCGGGCGGTTTCCTCCTCTGCATAGATAGACAAATAGATAGATATAGATATAGATATATGATGAGTGTGTGTACGTGTGTGTGTGTGTGTGTGTGTGTGTGTGTGTGTGTGTGTGTGTGTATGTGTATGTATGTATGCATGTTTTTATTTGTTCACTTTATCCATACTATATGGATCTGACGCGTTCTCTCCCCGCCATCAGCGCTGCCCCCTGTTCTCCTCGCGCCCGTCACTGCTGGAAGGTAGCGCCAGCAGTGTCAGCAGCTTGTATCGTCAGTGTCAGCCTGATAGGGGGGAGGTACTAGAGGGACGGGTGGGTCGAGGGGTGGGGTGGAGGTGGGGGGTGGGTAGATTTTAGTAGTGGCGCGCGGGAGTGTAGACATGTAGACCGGGCTAGGGCTGGCGACTGATATGTGCAGTGATTTATGTGGCCGGGTGTTGGCCTCTTGCGCCCCCTTCCTCCTCCTCCCTCTCCTCCTCCTCCTCCTCCTCCTCCTCCTCCTCCTCCTCCTCCTACGCCCCTAACCCTGTTCCCCTCCCCCCCCCCCCTGCCTCTCTCTTGACGCCCATTCCTCTACCCCGTCGTCCCCGGTAAACCCCTCTTCTACCCCTCCCCCCCACTGCCCACCTCTCCTCTGCCCCCCCCCCCCCGCCTTCCTGCCCACCTCCCCCTCCCCCCCCCCTCCCCCCACCTCCCCCTCCCCCTCCCCGCCCTCCTGCCCACCTCCCCTCCCCCTCCTCCCCTCCCCCACGGCTGCCACTCCAGTCTCCCGGCAGATGATGCTCAAATCTCAGCAAGTTACAGTGGCAGAGCGCCAAGGTGCCCCGGGGCCTCCACCACGCCCACGGCCCTCCTGCCCCCCTCTCCCCCCCCTCCCCCCCTCCCCCCCCCCCCCCCCCCCCGCCCGCAACAACCACCGCCGCCTCCATACTTGGAACACAACAATTTTGTTCACTTGCATTACCTGCGTCCACCACGTTAATTCTTTGCTGCGACTCGCGAGTTCACAGCGCTTGTGGTGTGTGTGTGTGTGTGCGTGTGCGTGTGTGTGTGTGTGTGTGTGGTGTTGTGTGGCGAGTGTGTGAGTGTGAGGTGTGTGTGTGTTTGTGCGAGTGTGTGTGTGTGTGCAGTGTGTGTGTGTGTGCGCGTTGTGTGCGTGCGTGCGTGTGTGCGTGCGCGTGTGTGTGTGCGCGTATATGGCTATGCACGTTTGTACGTGTGTGCGAGTGTCTTTCGTTCACACATAAATTTGCTTGCATAATTAGCACGTTGACCCGTCACTTTTTTTTGCATCTGCCTTGAATTCGTGTGCGAGGTGCGGTATTTTTTTATGTGTGTTTTATGTTTTCTCCGAGGGAACATTTGGGAAAGGGAGTGTAAGCATATGTGGTTTTATTGTTTGCGCAAGACGAGATAAAAAAAAAAAAAAAAAAAAGAGTGATGGACTAGCTCACTCGCAAATTTTTCTTTTGGAAGTTAAAACATAGCGACGATTTTCATTTGTTTCTCTCGCTCATTTTATATCCGATGTTTCAGTTTCAGTTTAATATAGTTATAGATTTGCTGGTCATCTTTAAGGTTCATCTTTCGAAAACAGCCATTCGAGTCCACTAAAAATTGAATTGATATGACTTAGCAATACCATTTGTCTTCCTCGACATGAACGCCATGTCTCTTCATAATAATTTTTAATAATGATAATAATAAATTAAAAAAATAATGATAATAATTCATAATAATAATTTCCTTTTCATAGGACACTTTCCCTCTTCGTAGGAACACTTGCTCTCTTGATAGGATTGTCTTCCCCGCGACTCGATGCAACCTAACCTAACCTGTTACTAAATTCGCTGTTACTTGATAGGACAGCATTGCCTGTTACTTGATTAGACAGCATTTCCTGTTACTTGGTTAGACAGCATTCCCTGTTACTTGATAGGACAGCATTCCCTGTTACTTGGTTAGACAGCATTGCCTGTTCTGATAGACAGCATTCCCTGTTACTGATCAGATTCCCTGTTACTGATAGACAAGCATTCCCTGTTACTTGATAGGACAGATGTACTGATAGGACAGCATTCTGTTACTTGATTAGGAACAGCATATACTGTTAGACAGCATTCCCTGTTACTACAGTTACTTGATAGGACAGCCATTCCCTGTACTTCTTAGACAGCATTGCCTGTTACTTATAGCATTCCCTTTACTTGATAAAGCATTTCTGTACTGATAGACAGCATTCCTGTTACTTGATAGGACAGCAATTGCCATATGATAGGACAGCATTCCCTGTTACTGATAGCAGCTATACTGATATTGACTTGTCATTGCTGTTAATACTGTTTGATGCACTGATCAGCATTGTCTTACTTGATAGGACAGATTGTCTGTTACTTGATAGACAGCAACTGAGGCAGCATTAATAGGACAGCATTGTTACTTGATAGGACAGCATGCTGTTAAATCATTGCCTGTTACTTGATAGGACAGCATTGCCTGTTACTTGATAGGACAGCAACTTATAGGACAGCATTGCTGTACTTGATAGGACAGCATTGCCTGTTACTTGATAGGACAGCATTGCCTGTTACTTGATAGCATTACTGATAGGACAGCATTGCCTGTTACTTGATAGGACAGCATTGCCTGTTACTTGATAGGACAGCATTGCCTGTTACTTGATAGGACAGCATTGCCTGTTACTTATAGGACAGCAGTTACTTGATCATTCCTGTTACTAAATTAGAAAGCATTCGCTGTTGATAGGGCAACATTGTCTGTTACTATTCCCTGTTACTTGATAGCGACAGCATACTTGATAGGACAGCATTCCCTGTCTGATAGGACAGCATTCCTGTTACTAAATTAGACAGCATTCACTGTTGCTTATAGGACAGCATTCCCTGTTACTTGATAGGACAGCATTGCCTGTTACTTGATAGGACAGCATTCCCTGTTACTAAATTAGACAGCATTCACTTGATTGCTTGATAGGACAGCATCCCTGTTACTGATAGACAGCATCCTGCTACTTGATAGACAGCATTGGACAGGTAGGACAGCATTTGATAGGACAGCATTCCCTGTTACACAGCATTCCCTGTTACTTGATAGGACAGCATTCCCTGTTACTTGATAGGACAGCATTCCCTGTTACTTGATAGACAGCATTCCCTGTTACTTAGACAGACTTGATAGGATTCTGTTACTTGATAGACAGCAGCATTTTGTTACTTGATAGGACAGCATTCCCTGTTACTTGATACTTGCATAGGACAGCATTCCCTGTTACTTGATAGACAGCATTCCCTGTTACTTGATAGGACAGCATTCCTGTTACTTGATAGACAGCATTCCCTGTTACTTGATAGGACAGCATTCCCTGTTACTAGACAGCATTCCTGTTCTTGATAGACAGCATTGCCTGTTACTTAATAGGACAGCATTCCCTGTTACTTGATAGGACAGCATTCCCTGTTACTTGATAGGACAGCATTTTAGCTGCTGTACTTGGACAGCATTCCTGTTACCAGCATTCCCTGATAGGACAGCATTCCCTGTTACTTTATACTTGATAGGACAGCATTCCCTGTTACTGATAGGACAGCATTCCCTGTTACTTGATAGGTACTTGATAGACAGCATTAATTGTTACTTGATAGGACAGCTTGATAGGACAGCATTCCCTGTTACTTGATAGGACAGCATTCCCTGTTACTTGGTTAGACAGCATTCCCTGTTACTTAATAGGACAGCATTCCCTGTTACTTGGATAGACAGCATTCCCTGTTACTTGATAGACAGCATTCCCTGTTACTAACAGCATTATTGTCTGTTACTTGATAGGACAGCATTCCCTGTACTTGATAGGACAGCATTTGTTACTGTTTGATAGGACAGCATTCCCTGTTACTTGATAGGACAGCATTCCTGTTACTAGAACAGCATTTTTACTTGATATTCTGTTTGATAGGACAGCATTCCCTGTTACTTGATAGGACAGCATTCCCTGTTACTTAGACAGCATTTGCTTGATAGGACAGCATTCCCTGTTACTTGATAGGACAGCATTCCCTGTTACTTGATAGGACAGCATTCCCTGTTACTTGGACAATTTTCCCTCTTCGTTGCTGAGAACACCTTCCCTCAATCTTATAGAATTGCTTTACTTCTTGGTAGCATTGCGTTCCCTGCTACTTGATAGGAATGCCTTCCCACTGACTTGATAATCCCACAATTCCCTTTTACGCCTTCCCTCTCACAGCCCTTGTCACTTGTTAGAACACAGTCCTTCTTGATAGGACAGTATCCCAGTTACGTGATAGGAACCCCCTTATTATGTTTTTTTTTTTTTTTTTTTTTTTAGAAATGCTTTTCTTTTTACTTGTGTGTGTGTGTGTGTAAGGCAGCATTCCGTGTTACTTGATAGTTATACCTTCCCTCATACTTGATAGGAAAGACTTTCCCCACATGCCTTGCCTTTTCCTCGATGGTAATACCTTGCCTGTTCATTGCAGGACGAGAACCGGTTCCGCGTTCCGAAGGGCACCAAGTTCTACCGCGTGATGGCCAAGCCGTGGGACAGCGAGGACAGCTCACGGAGAGATGGGAAGAAGGAGTCCCAGCAGGCATCTCCTACCCAGTAGTAGCAGCATCCTACTCCAGCATCATCCCGTCTCCCTTCCTCTGGCCCTCGTGGATGCCCTGGACGCATATCCTTCACCACACTGTCCCTGGCTTTGAGAAATAGGACACGACCGACCAAGACCCACGGGGGAGCGTGGCGGAGCAGCAGCGCCTGTGGCCGTCATCTTCTCGACACGTTGTCTCGTGACTCGTTCCATGTCATTGTAAACATTCTGTAAACATCGCCCTTCATTACTGTCTGACATCTTTCACGACATCACTGTTTCATTTTCATCATTCCATTGTGACGGTTCTCCTTCGTGACACGACACTTTTCCTGACAGAGACAGCTTTCCTAACTTTACAGTAATATTATTGATGATTTAAAAGAAAAATAACTTGGGATATCCATTTCTTCTTCCTATAGTAGTTTTCCTAACATTATCAGATCTTCATTCATACTACTTCAACATAAACCATTAAAAACTGGTAGTCTTAACAGTGTTTATCATTCACACTTAGAGACAAACATACTAATGTTTCACATTATTTTAATTTATAGTTCTTCATTCATCTATTTACTCCTTTGTTTTATGTTCAATCAGATTGTCTCCAGACTTTCCCCCCCTCTCATATATATTATGCAATAATATGTAGAACAAGAGGCAAAGATGGCAACTTAAAAAAAAGGAATGATACATGAGTTTGTTGTGGATTAAAAAAAGAAGAAGAGCATATTAACAATTAACTGAAGACCTGCGTATGAAGTCAATGCTTGTGTGTTTGTTTTGCCTCAGATTACCTGCCATTGTAGCTCTCAATCATCTCAACTTTGTCTTCGCTATCTGGATGCCGCTCCTTAGACATTTTTTTCGCACCAAATTGTTTTTTTTTTGCAGGTCTGCTTCAACTTAATTTCAGGCCAAATAGATGATCAGAGATATGAAAAAGTATTTCAAGGATGTAATTCATGTATTTTTGCAAGGAATCCAGTTAGAAGCATGTAACATTTGTAATGCAGCGAGAAGATTTTTTAATAAAGGGTGTTTTTAAAAAGGATATGATTGTAGTTGCTCCTTGAAATATGATGAAGATGAGTACCACATTTTATCATAATTTCTTAGCAGTAGCCCTTGTCTGCTTTATAGAGATTTAAAGTCCCTGTTTTATCATTTTATCATGCGGTAAATCATACTGTATTTAATTTCAGGAACTGAAATAGGATAGGTTGATAGTTCTGTTTGAAGTTAATTTTATTCCTCTCAGTCATGGCACTGGGAGACATTTAAACCTTGTAAATATCAAAGAAATGGGAATATTAAAGTCAATATTTAACCGAACTGAAATGAAAGAATGCAGGCAAAAGTCATTTATAAGTGACTTTCTTGTGATGTTATTTTTAACTTCAATGAAAATCCTAGTTTTTATACAGATTGAAAAATAGATATTAACTCTTCTCTTAACACTTGTACTGCCTGCCTAAGTATTACCTCTGTGAAAGATGACCCCTTTGGTTATTGTCTGAGGGGGTCCGAGTGTGGCAGTAATGTACCTGTGTTTTTATCATGTATGCAACCTGAAAGTCAGACCCAGATTCCATCATAGCTTGTACAATAATGAGCAAATAATCCTTACATAGGTATAACTTTAGGTAGAAACTAGCCTTTGACTCATTTTCTGAGAAGTATAAAATTACAAATTCAAGTTAAAATGTGTATAAAATATTCAACAACTTCACCAAGTTATTACATACCTGAAAAGATTTTTTTTCCAAAATACATTTCCCTTTAGACTTATCCATTTTGGAATGTATGCGTGGGTTTTGGTACAGCAATGGATATTCCTTGACCAGCAAATTACCTGTGTCTTCTAATGGCTATATTACTTAGTTGCAAATCAAATCAAATCCATTTATGTGAGAATAGTCCTTTTATAAGAAGACATATTTTACTGGGTATTGAGAATAAGGAGATGGATTCATCAATAATGTAATTTAAATTGTGCAAAGTTTAGTTTCTAGTTTGATTTGTGAGTATGCTGTACAATATTTTTGCACAAATATACACTTTGCATAATTGGGCTGAATGGTGAAAGATAGGGTTTGGCAAATATATGAATAACTATACATTTGAGTTTTGTAAAGGCAGAGAAGTCAAAAAGGCTACACGGCACCAAGAAGCAGATATTTTCTAATGTGTCACTTAATACGTCTAAGATTCTACTTACCTCTCTTCAACCGAGGTCATTAATTTTCATGTAAGCAGTCAGACCTTACCATGTGAAGTTATATTTGACTGTGCCATCATTTATGAAGACAGTGGGACCTGTTTTGGCTCTAAACCACGAGCATAGTTGGCAACCTGTGTCCCAGCCAAAGCCCGGGTTATATGTGTCAATGTTTTGTTCTTACTGATCTTAAAACAACACAAGGAAAGACTTTAATCCAGACTCTATCAAGCTGTCACTTCCTACAGCGCTGTTTTTGTGTTTTAAAGGAAAGGAGGTTTTTCTAAAAGTATTGTTAGGATGTAAACTGTATTTGCTGTTTGATGATAAGCTGGATTCGTAAAGAGCTTTTTACATACGGAACTGGATCGTATAGAAGCTTAGGCGGATGATTTGTAAATAGAATATTGGATATATATAGTATACATACATATATATACATATATATATATATTTGTAACACATTTCCACAGTATGTGCTGAGAGCAAGTGTATTAGATATGTTTGAACAATGTGGAGTGGATGAGGTCTTTGTTTTAGTCGTTTATTTTCGAAAGCAGTTGTTTCTGTGAGGCTTAAAAAATATCCCAACACTCCATACATTTTGTTAGGCTCACCCGTAAACGCCTCATCTGCTGAGGAAGTACAAGTTGCTAATAGTTTGTCAGATGATACTTAGGCAATTTTAGCTCGACACTTCCTAGAGAAAAATGCGCCGTATAAAGTAGGGAAGCTGGTCGACGTATCTATCCGCAATTATAATGCAGGTCATCATTTAACTGAGATCGAAAACTAATTGGCTTGGTTCCCCTCCGCATGAGACTGGCTTTATAGAAAGGTAATAACACTTACCAACTTGTCTGTCAGCTGTGCTCCGTAGGGGGTGGACTCCCTGCTCAGCTGACAAGTGACTGTCGCATTTATCATTGAGCTGAGTTAGCAATATTTATTTTTCTCATCTTCTGAACTGACCGCGCCGAACAGCCCGAAATAGTAAGAAATAGTTTCCCGGTGGTACAAATTGTGATTCATGTTGTCCTTATTTTCCCCTCACCCATTTTCCTAGATTGGTACAAGCACTTGAATGTGGTTTAAGTTGCAGAGAGAGAAGTAATGAGCATCTATTTTGATTCAAGTCGTGCCAGTTATTTTGTATAATGTATGGATAAAAATCTTACAGCTATCGCATACCGACACAGAGAGAGAGAGAGAGAGAGAGAGAGAGAGAGAGAGAGAGAGAGAGAGAGAGAGAGAGAGAGAGAGAGAGAGAGAGAGAGAGAGAGAGAGAGAGAATGAATATCAGGCTACATTAATCATTCTGAAAAGGTGTTTAGAGAACTAAAATATCAGTCGGTGACTTTCAATGAACCTTTTTTTCCGCTCTCGGTAAACCATTGTACGTTTCTATTGTTTTTAACACATTGGGTGCAGGAGAGTGTCATTCTATCTCGTTTCTTGATTGCTCTGTACTTTTAGCATGCACGAATATCACGTTTTGTATTTGCAGGATGTTGTTTGCCTTTCAGTGACTGTAATGAGTGAGGTGTGCATTGTATACAGTGTATTAAACAATCTTTTCATTACGCTTTTCCATGAGTACTGAGGTAAATAAATGATTATGAATAA